ACATAATTTCACATTAACTCCTGACGGAAAGTTGTATAGAATGAAGCCCCTGAATCCAGTATCGAGTCATCAACAGAACTGTAAAGTGTCAGAAATAGTGCATCCTGTATTTCTTCAGTTACAACATTAGCGCCATCATTCTCATTCTTCTTAGAATTCCTACAGTTTCTTTTTATGTGGTCAGCCTTACCACAATTCCAACAGGTTGTCTGCTGACCAGAATTTGATTTTGATCTTCCTCTGTTTGAGTTTCTGTCATATAATTTCCCTCTGAAATCAAAATTCAGTGCCAAACTTGAACACGAGGCATCCTCAGAATTCTTCTTACGCACCTCCTCAGTTAAAATCAAATCAATAATATCACAATAATATCATCAGATGTCAACTTGAATTTACCTGCAGAACTGCTAACTACCATCCTCATGACTTCCCAGCTATTTAATAATGAAGCCAACAATATCAGTGCACGTATCTCATCATCAAAATCAATTTCAACAGACGACAATTGATTTGTGATAGTATTAAAATTATTCAAGTGTTGAGCAACAGAGACACCTTTCAACATCTTCAAGTTAAATAATTTTTTCATCAGATGCACCTTGTTATTCGTCGATGGCTTTTCGTACATACCTGATAAAGCCGTCATGAGATCTGCAGTAGTCATCTTCTGGATGACGTTGTGGGCAACCGATCTCGACAGGGTTAATCGTATAACCCCCAAAACCTATAGATCCAACAGATTCCATTCCGCCTCTTCTATATTTTTTGGTCATTTTCTCAGTAACGGAAGATGAAGTTTCTTTTCATAGAGGTATTCCTCTATCTGCATCCTCTAGTAAGCAAAATGTGTGTCATTGAACTTCTCGATCCCCGATGTCATCACTTCGTCTCCGCCCATCGTTCTTCCTTAGATTGGAACCCAAGCTCTGATACCAGTTGTTAAAAACAATGACAATAAAGCGAAAAATGGAATGAGAAAAATTGCACGTAGAAAAAAAAACACCAGAGAGACACATAGATTTACGTTGTTCGACAACATTTCCTGCGTTCACGGAGCTGCAGAAGATTTTACTACTTCGAGGAATTATACCGTCGAAAGCTTCGATGTTTACAAGAAAATCTCTATTTTCTTCTCTCACTTCCTCTCTCTCTCTCTTTCTCTCTTTCTATTAGCTCTCAAGAGGACTTGGCTTGGCCTTGCTTGGTTTGCATTTTCTTTAAACCAAAAGAGACTATTTATAGAACCATGAGAGCGGTAGGTGGGAGGTAGGTAAGCGGTAGGTGGGATGTGGTAGGTGAGCGGTAGGTGGGATATGGTAGGTGAGCGGTAGGTGAGATACTTAATTAAGAAGCTAATTAAATTCGGTGGACCGGATCTCCACATTACCCAACACCTAATACCTTAAATAAAAACTTATAAACCTTCATTGGAAGTCTCCACCCTCCTCCTCTCGGAGTTATAGGGGGACTCTCTTAGCATTAAATGATGACCTCCTCGTGTCCTCTCATTCGACTTCCTTCCATTTTGATTTAGCCAAATTCCCCTACCAACTCTTCGTTAAGGTTTGCAACTCGAGCGGTCAATATGGCATTGTACTGCACTCCATGAGCTTCATCAACTTATCTCGCATTTCTTTAATACTCTCGAATCCGTCCTCTATTTGACTCTCTTTGGAAGAAAACATGTCCTCTATGGTGGCGAATGTTTTCATCTCGATTTTATTTTCCCAACTTCTCTTTCCAACACATCCACTTTTTTTTTGACATCTCTGTAATATCTTGCTCTGATACAAATTTGATATGATCTATAACCAAAATCAGTAAACAAACGCCGATAAAATTATAAGAAGTAGGTGAAAAAACTCAAACAATGGCTGCTCTTACGAAAATCAAAAGAAAATAAGCAAGATACAATGATGATCTATAGTTCAAGAGTAGATCGCCTCTCCCTCAACCCTAGACATTGCTCGAAACACCACAAAAAAGAATGAAAAACTGCAGCCAACAAAACATGTATAAAGAGAAAGCAAACCCTAGGTTATTAGCCCTAATATAATCATCTCATAACACTTCAAAATTCCCCCCCCCCTAAACTCCTCTAATTTTTTCTCTTTGCATACGTGATTAATGTCTTCGTGTACCCCTCCCATTCATTGGATCATTCAATCGTTGCTCATTGCTTGCTGGATCGTGCGATCGCGGTTCCTGGTACCACCTTGCGCTCCTGATGAGCAGTTCTGTTCTTTGACAAATGATGCAAACCACTTTATTGATTCTTGACCGGTCTCGTCTGTGCCAGCTCAACAACACACAAAAAAAAATTAGCATGAAGTGGAGAGTGTGTAGATTAAAAAATGTTACCCAAAATTGGCATTTTGGTAAACTCAATGGTTACACTAATGTGCTTGTGCTTCTCTGTTAAAATCAAGATGCACTCATTTGATGAAAATAAGATAATGAGAACTTTTTATTACATGTTTTAGCTGTTTGGAATGAAGAATGCGCGAGCCACACACCACTAGCTCATCAATAATGTGTTTTTGCACTGAAAAAAAGGAATGATGAATAATGTATTGGCAAGTTATCAGAGAGAATTTTCTAATTGAAAATCCAAAAGTTTAATTGGAAACTTTTGCTACCTTCAAAGGAAAACATGAAGTTGAAACGAATGAAATGCCTTTTTTTCTAATACCGGCTAGTTCCCAGAGTTAATGATGAAATAAGTTGATATGTGTTTTAATATTGATAAGGTTAGTTCAACTCCGAAGTCCCTATCATTGATAAGCTTACAAATAGGCTTGTGGGGTTAAGTTGATTCATCTCATACTTAGGGGAGTGAAACACCTCCATTCAATGTCTAGAAAAAGTCAAAGTTCGAGTGGAAAATCGAGTATGATGTGACATTCACCATTAGAAATACTATTTTTGTAATTGTGAGTTTATGATAAGAAAATTAATTTTATTCTTGTAGGAGGGGAATGGAGGCAAAAATAGCATATATATTATGTTAGCAAAATCATTGGTGATCTAAAGAAAATGTACCTCCTAATATAAATAATAGTATTTTCAAAAATATTTAATAAAGGCTATACCGATTAAATTATTTGTTTGATGTCAGGTAAACTGAAGCTACCTAAATGGCTCGCAAGGTGGTAAATTGAACTTAAGGAATACAATATCAAATGATTTTATTAGTTTGCTATTAGTGCTTAAACTTTGGAGAATTTTGCCATTGAGTATGCACTAAAGGAGCTATCCTAAAATTGATTGGAATAAATGGAGCTTATATTTTGTTAATTAATGGTTCCATAAGAAAAAAATAATCAAGTAGGTGTGGTGCACTTATGCCCTAAAGGAGTTACTGCCACTTATAGTGTTTGGCTAGGTTTTTATGCATTCAACAATCATGCAAAGTATAAAGTATTACTTATTGTATTGAGATTAGTAGCCCAAACAAGAATGAAACATAGTTTTGCTTGTAGACTCACAACTAGTGATCAATCAGTTTTTTTCCGACTAATGAAGTGTGGGACTTAATTTCAATGAGCGTGTACTTTGTTCGTGCTAGAAACAATCAGAGATGGTTCTTGTTGGTACTAGATTGCTACTTCATAAAGTGGGAAAAAGTGAAAGCATTTGTCAAAGCAACCACTAAAATAATAATTAAATTACACTAGTCAAAAACCTTCAAAAGGTTTATGCCGCCACTTGTAATTATCGCCAATAATAACACACAATTTAATAACAATAAATTAATCAAATTTTATAACTGTTGAGGATATATTTCTTATGTTAGTAATCCTTGGACAAGCTAAGGCTACAAATTAACAACATAATTATCAACTTACATAACAATAAGTTGGATGGTTAATAAGGTGTTTGTACTATGAAATATATTTGCCATACTACTCTCTTATCATCAGCGATGAGGCTCCATTCATGCCAAAGCTTAGGTCAAAAGTTCTGATGCCAATCAAACTTTAAAATAATATTAGTTAGATCTTTCATGCTAACATAATAATTCCTTAAGAAGTTTGAAGAAGATATAAATGGAATGTGATTGAAGTGCAAGTTGAGCTTGACTTATAGGATGGAATGTTGGTGGGAAACACCCAACAAAATCAATTGTTTGAAAGCTAGAGCACTTGAGTACTTAAGAGGCATAACCAATCAAGGAGTTTTCAACCAAGCGGGTTGATATTGAGAAGAGTGAAGCCATCTGAGATTTTCATCATTAGAACCATTAATAACCCAAGGTCTTATATGTTTCAAGGCAGTGGAGGCTAAAAAATCTCTAGAACTTAGCGTGCCTTTAACAAAAGCCAAATCATGCTTTAGAAAAAAGAAATTTTATACAATTAGCAAATTTATCTTTAGATATTGAGTTTGCTTTGTAGGAAGAACTCCTTGAAATCAAGGAAAGAGTTTGCAAAGTAGATCCAAAAAACCCCTTGTTTTTTATGGGAACTAACTAATCATATTAGCATCTTATTTTATGTATAAATATCATATCAGTCGTTATTCTACCCACTTATTCTCCAGTGTATTCAAAAGAACTTGTTGCCACCTTACACAAGGACTATAAACACCCAACCATAAAATATTTAAATTATTGACCAAACTATTTGTGAGTATACAAGATTGACCATTAGTCATGAATTACACTCGACACTCTTTTATATCAATTACTTATCATTATTTGTGACAAATATCATTCCGTGCTCATGTCTTAAGGGTCTCATTATATATTTGAATTTTTACCAGTTATATTGTTTACTTGTGACCAATCATTAGAATCTTAAACTTATCTAAAATTTGGCAGTAGCACTAAGATTATTGTTCTATGTGATAATTAAAGTTGTTAACTATATTTTTTTTATTTCTAAAGGCTTTTTTTTTACATGTAACTCCGTTTTTTAGCATTGTGTATATTAAACTAATTTTGCAATTTTTCAATCTATGAGTTTTGACTTAGATGTTGTTGCTTCATATCGAAGCAGAACAATTATCAGGAATATTTAAAGTTGAAAGCAAAAGTTGAATATCTACAACGGTCACAAAGGTTGCTCAAATGTTTTCTTTTTCTTGGCTAAATTCATGCTTTATAATTATGGATTATTTTAACTGCATGATCTATTTTAAAATGCAATACATCTACAGAAATCTTCTAGGAGAGGACCTAGCTCTACTGACCACAAAGGAACTAGAGCAACTAGAACACGAATTAGAAATGTCTCTCAAAAAAATCCGATCAACTAAGGTAATCAGTAATAGTTTTGCATTAAATTGCTATTAGAATGGTTAAGCACATCATACACTATAATAAAATATTTTTTTATTATTGTTTTGTCTTGTCATTAAAATATTTATGCTTATGTATTTTTGCAAAGTTAAAAATATTTTTATAAAACATAGCTACTTTTACACCCTATTATCCATGCCGAAGACAAACATTATATATATATATATATATATATATATTATTTATACAATACAATCAACTTAATTATAAAAATGCATGAAAAATTCTTTTAATGGTTGAGATTGATTCCATAAAATCATATTAATTTTTTTAAAATATTAGAGCTGTCAAACCCAGCCATTAAAATAGATTCCATGAAGGTAATGTACAACGCAACTATCATTGTATCTGTAAAGGTCTGTCGGAATCTTACTAAACGAATAGATTGAAATGTCTATATTGTCCATACATATTAGATGAGTTGACTTCATATGTTAACGACCTCAAATTTATTGATAGTGTACAAATAGTTATGGTATGTCTTTTTGTTTTCTATGAACTACACAAATAATCAATAAAAACATTCCTTTTATGACTTTTGTTATTTAGTTTTCTAAGTGAATGATCAATCACTTAATCCATAAATATGACAAATAATAAACTGTTTTCAAAGATGTTCATTAAAACAATATTGATAATCTTAAAATTTTAATCAAAAGCTAACATAAGGTACAACACCAGCTGCACAATAAGCAATTATTTAACACCACCAAACCAATCAATGACCTCTATCATTGACACAACCACCAGTAATCATATGTACTCTGCATAAAATTTTGCTCTGTAGTGTTTACATGGAAGGATATGAAGATTAGAAAAAAACATTTATATATCCCTTCTTATTTATTTACTTCTTAAGTATAGCTAAAATCGTCAGCTTAATTTTTATGGTTTTAGAGATTAATGTGTAAAGGCATCCCTACTTTAAGCTCATACTTATGATAACCACCTTTCTTCCTACTTCAATTCTGACATGGATCCCTCGATGATGTCAACTATGCAAAAAGATCAACGGTGTCAACTATGCAAAAAGACCCCCTCTTAAGTTGGGAGGCATTTTTATTCCTTCTTACCTCAAAATTCTGATGTCAAAAAAAAAAAAACAAAAAAAACATGATTAACATTCATCTCACATTGAAGAATCATTCAACATGTTGATCATAAGTCCTGCTTTTAGCTATTAGTTCTAATGGATATTTGGATGACTTTACTCCATTCCTTGCTAAACACAATATTCATGATGATGCTCAAATCATCTCTTATTCTTAATACTATATGTGAATGCTTATCAATGAGAACCTTATTGTGCATTCATCTCCACCATCTTAGCTCATGTTCCCACTCTCAGCTCTTGCATAAAATTTGGACAATCATTAAAATATAGGTGCAATCCACAAGTTATTCTTGCATCATTCATAAAAAAAAAAATAATCTTTATCACATCTCAATGAAGGATAAAATCATATCCCTTACCGGTTAGCTTCATTTTAGCTATATATGCTCTTCCTAAAATACTATAAATGTTAGGACCCTATATTAAGTAAATCTCTGTATCTCATAGCATCCACACCACTCTAGCTCACATCTATAGTAGTAACTTCACCCGCTTTAACACTCATTCAACTCTAGAGCATTCCCTTAGATCTCATAGCATCGTCACACCTCAGTTACTCTCTTGAAAAGTCAACACGCCTTTAGGTTTGCCACCAACTCACGTATCACACCATCGTTCACCCTATAATCCAATAACTCCCACTCCACACCTTTTCCTTCTACCCTCATCAAAGCCAACTGCAGATTCAATTTGGCACATCACTGACGCCCATAATGAATTCTAATGCTCGCTCTTCTCAAAATTGGTAATCTTAAGCCAAAGCAGAAATTTAGCTTCGCTAACATTATCAAACTACATGATTCCAACTAAAATACTTTTATAATTAAAGAGGGATAAAGAAGAACAGTAATGTCTTGAGAGTTTTGAGTTATATAATCCCAAGGCACAAGATTCGTATCCTCCATTTCCATCTCAAAATCTCTTGGGCAATCAATGACATTCAAAATCAAATACCACTTAAATGTCTCAATTGTTTGACATATGACACGACTTATCAATTGTTACTTTTCTATAATATAATGACATAAAGACCATTAGACTTCATAGTAATATGTCTTTCACATTTGCACAAATCATATCAAAATTAGTTATCACTTCTTTAGGACTGCATAAAATCAAAGACACTTTTGTTCGCGATGTAGCATCTTTGGATCAACTCTAACATCTTCAAGAATGCTCTGTCTATCGTTTGCTTCAATCACCTTCGAGATGAGCAACCGGCCTCCGATACATATTTCAACTTGATAGGAGGGGAAGAGATGATAACCGTACACAATCATAACCAAAATTTGTCAAAATATACAGCACAAACATAGTAGCCATCATAATTACTCATTCAAAACCACCAAACTAATCACATTCCTTTATCAAAAGTAGACTTAGCCATCTGCATCCTAACTCGAGATACTCCCTTTCATAAATTGATGATATTATAGTTCTTACATGGAATGAAATGAAAAAGCACATTAAAATTGTCTCATTTCTCCATCTTCTTTATTTAATTCAAACCATCTTTAGCTTAGTTTTTAATATAAGCATGATAACATAGTTTTAATATAATGTACATTTTTATTATATGCTTATGCATTTTCTATCATCAATTGTCTCAACTTCAGCTATTTAAGATTAATTTTGTGAGTTCTTTCTTTTATTCTTGTTGAGTTGTATAAATGTATTAATTTTAATTTAGATAAAATATTTGTGCGTAGTTGTTGACCTCAATAATTTCTTAATTATGTGATGTCAATAAGCCTAGCTCAAGTCGCGAAAGAGATTCACACCGACTCTTTTAATAATGGAAAGGTGATGAAATATTTCTGAATATGAAATGGGTCATTACATCTCCAACAGCCTAAGCTGCTCAACAATTCAACCCACAGTGAATTACAATTTTCATTCTTAGGTAGGTGCCATATTTGTAAAAATTGAACTTTAGGTGTTAGACATGTAAATACGTAAGAATTCAGTGATATGTACATCAATCTTCCAATTTAAAAAAAAATGAAGATGAGAAATGAGACTTCGATTTAAGAAAGGCAAATGGCTATGAAATGAATGCAGACTTCTCTATTCTAGCTTAGGTCAAGCATATTTTTCAGTTTTAAGGAAGTCAACTTCAAATGAAATTACCAAACAAGCATAACTATTATCTTCTCTTGAAAAGAGGTAATCTAACCGCACATTTTCATTAAATTTTGAACTATTTGATAACAGGGTTTACGCCCTTAGCTATTTTAATTGGATTGTGATGCTCGTTCTTTATTTCTATGGAAGGAATGAAATTCACATTTCTTTTTACATGTGATCTAAAAAAAAATATTAAAAATGTTATTTACCTCCCCTTGATGTGTCTCCAAAATAATCTTACCATCGGTCACGAATCACGATGCATTCTAAGTAACGAGCATTTCAATTTCAAATTCAAAATCATCTAAACCCACCCTGACTTTATCAAGTTCATAGACAAACTGTCTTGATAAGACGAAACCAATGACACTGAAAATGATTTGATCAAGCCTGGATCAAGCATTTAAAGAGCAATTAACAAGTTTAGAACATTAATTGGAGGGTCAAACAAACTCTAAATTTAACATAGTTATATTCAAATCAAGCATCTCAGTGAGAAGAATCTTATGAGCCCAAAATCATTTAATTCTATGGTCCATTAAACATTTAAATGCTAAAGAGATGATGTGGACAAACCGTTAGATGAAGTGATTTGAGAGGTTAGGCCTCTCCCTCTTAGGCCTTGTCAATCACGAACGATCATTCCCAAGTGTTCTTCGATCGTGAGACGTAATTGAGCGGCATATAACTATTACCAAGTCTCCAACCACGAAGATCTTTAGCCTTACCAACTTGTCGTGAGTCGGGCCATTTTGGCGCGGTATAGCTCGAGGTTTTGTCTGACCTGTAGTCGAACTCCCTCGAGGCTATTCAACTCTTCCAACCTGAGTCAGATATTATCGTCACTTTTGACGTTCTAGCTTAGAAAAACTCGCAACGAAGGCAGTTCGACTTCCAAGGGAAGGATTGCTTCAGTCCCAAACGTCAAAGCGTAAGTCATAGAGCTAGTGGGGGTACGATATGTCGTACGGTACACCCACAAAGCCTCAAAGAGCTTTCATGTCATTCCTTTTTGTTAACATGAAGAATATTCTTAATGAGGTTTACTAAGGTCTTACTGAAAGCATCAACTAGAACGAGGTGGTGGAAGCGCTGCAGGATTCATGTGCTCTGCGCGAGATTGCGTGAGACGGGATTCATTTGATTTGCACGAGTTTGCGTAAATCACACAATCGAAGGAGGGACGAATATAATCGGGGGAAAGGAAAAAAACTTTGGTTCTTACATTACATATCCCACATCTAAACTTTCATATTTACATACATTGCACTTTGGTGTTTTAAACATATGCATGAAAATGTTTATTTCACTTTTAAAGTGATAAGAGTGATATTTTTTAATGTGATATTTACAACTTGAGTGATATGTGCATAAATATGAAAGTTTATGCCTGGGATATGTAAATACATAAGAATTGTGTGATATGTATGTAAATGCCCTAGAAATATAAGCAGAGAAAATCCAACATCTTACCAGGAGAGGATGGCATGAAACTTTCTATAAATATATTTGAAGCTTTTCTTACTATTTCAAGTCCAGAACAGAATTTGTAATTATTTAGATCTGAAATATTGTATCTCTTCTCGGTCTTTTCAGAGCCAGTTGATGCTTGATCAACTATGTGATCTCAAAAGGAAGGTATCTCCATGATCTCATTTCAATAAATTCAATAGATCTTTACATGACCTTCGATTGAATTATTAAATAAGGCTAACTTTATTGGTAATGAAAATTATCTCCAATTTAGGAGCAAATGTTGCAGGAAGCTAACAAAGCTCTGAGAATGAAGGTATGGTGATTACATATTGTTTGGTTTTATGTTAGTTTTTTTGAACGATTGCACATAACTAGGTATCATTATACTTTTCCAAATTCAAACAAGCATTTAAAATTTTTCCAGAGTTTATCTTACCATCATTTTTTGTGAAGCATATGCCTAAATTGTTTTTCAAAGGGAGTTATAAAAATGTTACAGCTTATATGATCAATATTTCTAACACTAATACAAGAGCAAACATTATGGCATATGCCTAAATGTTAAATCTTTCATATCACATAACCAATGCCACTATTTTAACTTTTAAAAATTCAAATACACCTTCCAATGCATATGTAATGCGATACATTAAAGTGATGCATATGTAATGCGAGACATGAAAGTTTGAAGTATAGGCGTTAGATATGTAAATACATAAGTACTGAGTGTAATGTATGTAAATCTCTCCTTAAAATAATTTAACTCTCCATAACATGGCACCTCCATGCCATCATGATCTTCATATGTTTCAAATATTCACTGTTTTAACAGCATTTAAATGCCACAGTTGCAAGAAGACGAGCCGGAAATGCCCCTCCAGTTGTCCTGGTCTGGTGGCCGCACAGCCGGAAATGCCAGAAGCCCCTGCGGCCGTCAACCTCAATCGGATGTATTCTTTCAGCCCTTGCCTTGTGACCCTACTCTGCAAATTGGGTAACATTCAATCCAATTCGCTCCCCTCATCCAATGGAATCTTGTGCTTGTTCTGCTTCTAAGGGCTTGTTTGAGTTTATTTGTGTTTTTTTTATTATTATTTTAAAAAACATGTTTGTTTATAATATTATTTTGACTATTTTAAAAACAACTAAACAATTTATAACATCTCATGCAAATAATAAAAAAGAGAGCATGAAAGCAAAAGCAATCGCAAGCATCCCCTAAATGCCTGAAATTTACATTCCTCTTAGGCTACATTTGGTTGTTTGAACTTATCATAAACTAACATTTTGCATGATAAAATCAGCTAATTCCACTTACAATCAACCAAATGACCTCTCAACACAGCAACAATTCAGCCAATTATTTTGTTTATGTCTAACATTTAGATGCATCTTTATTTATCATCACAGATATAACCCAATCTGTATAGAAGAGCAATTGAACAACGGATCGTCCTCTCATAATATCAATGGCTTCCTTCCAGGATGGATGTGATTATCACTTAAATCTCTTAAAAGTCATCACCTTTCATATTCTGCTACATATTTTATATCTTCCAGCTTGGGGAAGAATGTGCTCAAAAGAAAACATGAAAAAGATCATACAATAAGGTTGACTAAGGCATTTGTATTTTGTAGTACCTTGATTTTTGTGTATGTAATGTATAGTGGAGTAGAACAAGAAGCTTATTTTGAACACAAATATGCAGGCATTGAATTATTCAAGGATAATGTAACAGTGTACCATATATTTTCATATTTATATAGTTCTGTGAACATTAGCTCAGTAAAAAATTTTGTTGCATCTCAATGACTTAAATTTGTTGTGAATGTATTTTCTAGTTAGTAAATTTATATTGAGATTGATATAAACTGAGAAATGACTAATTAGTTTTGCATTGCATTCACATCAAAATATATCAAACAACTAGGATTGTTCTGTTCAACCTTTGGTCCATTTGGAAGGGTTGGAGTAGCTCCAGAAAAGATTAGAGAAAGTCATTTTAGATGATTGGGTCATGCTAACGTTGTCCATCTAATGATCCTGTTAGGAGAGTAGATGTTTTAAATTTGACTTGTGTTAAGAAATGTAGAGGTAGACTTGAAAATATCTCGGCATGTTGTACAAAACATGATCTCAATTTATTAGAAATAAATGAAAATGTGACACTTAGTAGAGCGCAATGGAGAAAAATGATTCATGCGGCCGACCCCACTTAGTGGAATAAAGACTTGTTGTTGTTGCAAGGGAATTTTTTCAATGCTTCTTATGACGTGTTAGTTGCAGAGAGGTGAATCAAAATAGAAAAAAAATTGATGATGAGTTTCTCATGCATAAATGTATTAGCACTGGAAAATATTTATTTAATTTTGCAAGATATTATATGAAAATTTATATGTAAGCTTATGTATTAAATGGTACATGCATATAAATAAACAAGCTTGAGAAATGTTTTGCTTGCTCATTCATGTTCATGGATTAAAATAGTCCCAAATGAGGGTTATTTTAGCCTCAATTAAAAGTCTCATCAATAATTTGATATTTTTTTTAATAAATTCTATGTTTAAAATAGCTCAAGTAAATAGTGAGAGGACTATTTTGACACCGTACTTAATTTTAATATTATATAAATGAAAAGGATCTTTAGGTGTAAACTGACCGAGCTTGATCAAAGCATACTGCCCATTCGTGTTCAACTCATTTGAAATTTGAATATCTCAACATAGGTTCGTGCTCCATATGAGCTCGTGAATATGAGTTCTCTTTTTTGCTCGAAAATAAATTGATTTGTTCTCAATGAGCTATTGTTCGTCATTGAAATAATAAATATTATTATTTAATTATTTAATTACAAGTATATCATGAAAACAGTTATTTAATAAAAGATTTTTCTAAATTTTTAAATATACTAAAAATAATTAATATAAAAATGATACAAACAGAAATATTTATTTAATAAATTAATTATTTTGAGCCAAATAAAGTCGAACAAATAAGTAAAAATTTATTCGTAATAAACTCGTTTATAAGTCGAGCTAAAAAAGTTATTCATATTTTCTTGCTCTATTTTAATTATTGTGACTCTTTACATAGATATCACTCAATTCATATGTATCAATACATGAAAAAATTAGATTTTAATTATTAAATGTGAATTGTTGGATTTTCATATTTTCAGCATAGGTTGGATTTGTGAAAATTAAATTTTAGGGGCGATAATTACCAAAATATCCACCAAAAAACATATAATTTAGATATTTGATAAATAAATATTAAAAAAAATAAGGGGTCAGGACGTAAATTCCTCAGAATCATATCGCCATGGCGGGAAACATTTTATTTTCTTTTCGTCTCGCCATGTCAAAACCCTAGCCTTCTAAAACCCCGGTTAAGGCGATCGATCGCCTTTTCACTGTTCCCGGAAAGGCATGGGAAGAGAAGACGATGATATCAGAGCAGCGAAGCTCGGATACAAAGAAGCGGCTCGGGATGGGAACCACGAGGAAGAGGCGCGGTGGGCAAACTTGATTGGAGACATCCTCAAGAGGAGGGGAGAGTACGTCGAGGCTCTGAGGTGGCTTCGAATCGATTACGAGGTATCCGCAAAGTATCTTCCTCAGAAACAGCTCCTTGCGACATGCCAGTCTCTTGGCGAGGTCTATCTCCGGCTAGAGCGCTTTAAAGAAGCACTCCTCTATCAGGTTATAGTTGTTGAAAGTTTATTTTACTCTTTATGTTTGAATATTTGTAAGCAATGTTTACTAGCCTCTGTACGGTTGGTTGCAAGAGTGTGGAGGATTTAGAGTTTGAGAGAATCAATGGATATTGAGTTGCTAGGCTTTGTAGCCAAATAGCCATTCGCCAAAATCTCAGGACCTCTTTGGGTCGCTCTTAAACAAATAATTTGGTTTTTATAGAAAGAATTCGGAAGTTGGGTTTAAGTATAGTTGAAAACTTATATTACCAGCAGTGGCGCGTTACACCACTGCTGCCACTGCAAAATAGTATGTTTTTAAGGGAACAATCATATTTTTTTATTATATTTTTTTAATAAAAAAATATATGAAAAAAAATGATTCCAAACGGCCGTTAGCTTTTATTTTTTTTTGGGCCAAAAATATTAAAGGTTTGTAACTGACCGTTACACCACTGCTGCCACTGCAAAATAGTATGTTCTTAAGGGAACAATCATATTTTTTTAATAAAAAAAATATATGAAAGAAATGATTCCAAACGGCCGTTAGCTTTAATTTTTTTTTGGGCCAAAAAGATTAAAGGTTTGTAACTGAAATACTTTTTGCATATGCAATTGCCAACGGTTTCTGCATAATTCGTTGTAAATAAAATTATAGATGCTACTGCCAAGTTCCTAGATAGAAGTTCATTTCCGATAGCTATGGTGTGTTCATTTTTTATAAAGACAACCTCTGTAAATATTGTAATTGGATTTTGTATCACATTATATCCAATTTTCTACTTTTGAATTCGAAACCTTTATGAAGAATTTGATGCAATTTCGTATATTTATTAAATGCCTTAAAAACATCCATTTCAGACGAGCAACATCTTTCTAGCAAACAATCACTTGCATATATGAAATTTGGTAGGAGGGTTCTGGAGTTAATTTTCTAATTATATCCATTCTGCTGTATATTTTTTCAGCCTGTTGGAGATTTAATTTTGCATGGTTTTGTAGGTTAATTATTTACTCAAAATCTGCATGAGTGATACTTCTATGTGCACCTCATACTTGCAAACTATTTTTTAAGAGGTTTGAGGCTAGAAAAGTTTCTATATGATTTATTTTATCTTAATTTTTAGTTATACAAATTATGACCGTTCATCTTAAATTCACCATTCAGGTTATATGGTGCTAAATTTCATGAAAGTCTTAAGATGATTTGATAATGCATCAAGTATATAATGGTAACAAGATAACATATGGCTATGATAATGAAATGCATGCTTCACTAATTTCATAATATAGAAGCCTTCAAATCAAATATAAGAAAGTCTTAAGATGATTTGATAATGCATCAAGTATATAATGGTAACAAGATAACATATGGCTATGATAATGAAAGGCATGCTTCACTAATTTCATAATATAGAAGAAGCCTTCAAATCAAATATAGTTTTTTTAGCTTGTATAAAGAAACATATATAAAAGTTTGAATGAATTTGAAAAAATAAAGTTCAATTATGCTTTTGATATGGGAACTTGCAAGGTATCTATTTCTTCATCAGGTTTCACAAACACTTTTCTTATATAGGGTACTCTTTGTTTCTGCAACTTCATAAGATTTGTAAAGGGCAATTTGACACGATAGTGAAGCCCAATTGTCCCTTGAAGAACTAAACTGGCTTGGAAGCATAGCCTTCTTATGTTTTTGCTTTATATTCCAAAATATTGTTCTTTTAATTACATTCATTTCATAGGTTTAGTGAATTACCTATATTGTTTTTAACTTATATTCTATAATTTTCAATAACTCAATTTTTATCTTCTAATTTCCATGTATTGCAGAAAAAACATTTGGAGCTTGCCAATGATACAAATGACATTATTGAACAACAAAGAGCAAGTACACAACTTGGCCGAACTTACTATGAAGTGTTTTTAAGATCAGAAAATGATCACCACGCAATAAGAAGTGCGAAGAAATACTTCAAGTTGGCTATGAAACTGGCTCGGTCTCTCAAGGAAACCCCTCCCCCCAAAACAGATAGTTTCTTCCTAAAAGAATATATAAATGCACACAATAACATTGGTATGCTTGAAATGGATATCGATAATCTCGAGGAAGCCGAAAAAATGCTTCTCAAGGGTTTAATGATATGTGATGAAGAGGAAGTCAATGAATATGATGATGGACGCACCAGGCTTCATCATAACCTTGGAAATGTTTATTTAGAACTGCGGGAATGGAACAAGGCTAGGACCCACATCGAGAAAGACATTTTAATTTGTAGACGGATCGGACATCCCCAAGGTGAAGTGAAGGGGTTCATCAACCTTGGCGAGCTGCATTATAGAGTGCAAAAGTACGATGAGGCTATTCTTTGCTATCAGAAGGCAATGGATATTGCGAAAAGCATGGAGGATGAGGATTCCTTAGTAGATCATATTTCTCAGAATGTTAAAACTGTAAATGAAGCATCTAAGGTGTTAGAGTTATTGATAAAAGACGAGCAAAAACTCAAAAGATTGATGAGGGCCACGAGTGATGCCCGTGGAACGGCAAATGAAAGGAAATTTTTGTTAGAGCAAAATGTTTTCTTGGATAGTTTGATTGAAAAATCTTGCATGATTTTTGCATGGCCAAAGGTATGTTTGGTATTTATACTTCAATTTTATCTTTCACTGCTTGTTTTTCTTTTGAAGGTGACAGACAGTTATTCTTTGTAATTTAGTAGAATTGCGAGAGCCATTCTTTATGGAAATAAGGATTCTTATATTTCTCTGAGAACACAATTTGATGTTATTAACCACCAGTCATAACAATTGATAGCATATTCTAGCTCTATGTTTCAACTCTCCTAAACGAAAACTCAAATTGTGTTTTTTATACTTTTGCATAAGTTGTAAGCTTTCCCATCTTATAAGATCAGACAAGATCAGGATAAACGCTAAGTAAAACATGTTGTTGTGTCTCATGCCTGTTCAAAAAGGGTGGAAATTCAAGTTGTAATTACTGCTATAGTCATATTGCTTTTGGTATTTACATCATACTCTAGGTAATGATCATTACTGCCATAGTCATATTGCTTTTGGTATTTGCATCATGATCTTGGTAATGATCAAATTCCTCTTAAGGTAAAATAGTAAGTTATAATTCTTTCGCATTATGAATAAAAATATGCATAATTTTATTCTCATTATCTTAATGGGTTTACACCTAGTTTGATTTCTTTGAGCCCAATACTTCTAATATTTATTAACTGGATTTCCATACTTCGATTCTGTGGAAACTTCCAACTATATCATCAGTTTTGTAGATAAAAGTACTTGCAGGCATGGAAACTTGGAGAAAATCTAATTAACGTCTTTCACATATAAATGAAGGCAACCTAACTATTGCTTAAAGCCTTCCTTTGTTAACAAATACTTGATTTAATAGTTCTGTCTGAATTGAACCCATGATCTTTTTAAAGAAAAAACTCAAATTTGATTTTGTGATTTGTAAATGCAATTTTTGGCAGTTCTTCCAAATAATTCTATTTTGATCTTCTGTTATAATATCATATTTATATCAAGATATATTGGGCTAATGTTTTAAAATTTAATTAACAGCATCAAGAATTTGCAAAAAGGAAGAAAAGAGTAGCAACTGAGCTTTGCGACAAGAAAAAACTCGGCGATTCTTTTCTGGATATAGGAGAGTCTTACCAGAAACTTAGAAACTTCGGAAAAGCACGCAAATGGTATATGAAAAGTTGGAATGCTTACAGATCTATCGGTAACCTTGAGGTATGCTATTTATGATTTCCTGTGCGTTTGAATCATGTAGTACTGCCGTGGATGAATTTCTAAAAATAAATTGTTTCATTTAAAGGCAAATGTGCTTATTAAGGGGTTTTTTTGGCTTGCTGGGATCGGCTATTTAAAGTTGGTTTATTAGTAGATGCCAATTAATGGTCTATGGTGCTGATCAAATTTACCAATTACTAAATACTAAGTTATCTAAGGTTAAAAGAAATGAAAAAAAAAAAAGAAAGGGATCATAACCGCTATTGATCATCTAAGATAACTTCACATTACTTAAGATGGTTGAACCAAACTAATTACAGTTAAAATATAAGATTGTTATTTGATTAACTCTGTTATTTGGATAATTGATACTAGAGGAAAAGATGATAACGGCTACCGCGTCACTAATATTGCAGTCTAAACACCAAACAACCTTTGCATGGCTTCTTCTTTTTTATCGATGATGGTAAATTTACCATTTTCTTTTGGATTTTTTGTTTTTTGGGAGTTGCAAAGCTTGTTTCAATCCTTAAGTGGCCAATTAAACCGGAAGGCTTGCTTGCATGGTATCCTACATGATATGTATCTTGCAATATATATTTTCTTATAATGTGCAGGATTGTTTCATTTACTAGAATCTTATTTTATGATTATGAGAACCTCAGGGGCAGGCATTAGCCAAGATTAATGTTGGTGAGGTTTTGGATTCTTCCGGTGACTGGACTGGGGCACTAGAGGCATTTGAGGAAGGTTACAGGTGATTTAACAAAGATTGTGGAATTTGCACTTTTTTTTTAATTGGCAGTGTATATCTTCAATGGCGCAAAATGTCAATTATTTGTCCTTTGAATGATAAATTTCACCTTTGTTGACTTATTTTCATGCAGAATATCAGTCAAAGCTAACTTGCTATCTGTACAATTATCTGCACTTGATAATATGCATTATAGTCATATGATCAGATTTGACAATGTTGACGAAGCAAGGTATGTTTGGTGACATTTAGGACTTCGTAAATTTTGGACTCCTTTATTGAGTTTGTGCCATTGTCAGAAAATTACAGATTGAGATTCAAAATGTTAAGCGTTTATTGAATGAAAGCGAGTTGTTGATGAGAGTGGATCAAGATTACTGTTCTGAAACTGAAACAGAGGGCGTAGTTGCATCTCTTCTTTCATCCGATGAATCTGATTCATTGGAAATTAATAATCCTTCAATTTTTGTGGATAAGCCAAATATTGCCACCGGTGATGCTGTTGATGATGATGTACCTTTAAGAATGCTCGTTAAAAAATGCAAAAAATCATCCAAGATGGAGATGCCTTCATTAAACAAGAAAGCCAAAATGTCAGATAGGTTGGGCGAGCGTTCAAATAGAGATTTAATCAATCATGATGTTAACCACCAGTCTCTTGGTCGCAAGCGCGTTCGTGTGATTATTTCCGATGAGGAAGATGAAGAACTTGATCAGGCAACACAACTAAGAAAAAGGAACCATGGAAACCCCATTGAGGATGTGGCTACTTCTTGTGGAGGTTGATTCTATGCAGTTTGAATTAGAGTTTTGTTGACGAATGAAAACTTTTTAGCTCTTTTAATGAGTTTCTTGTTTTAATGTATCATTTTAGCATTGAAGTTTGCATTTTTTCTTAGTTTTTCTATTCAACAATGAACTTTTTGCTTGTTCACAGATATCAGGCTGGGTGAAATAGCTGGTCCTACTGCGGGGAAGGTGATTTTAATCTCAAACTCTAATGCTTGAAATATCTTGAGTTTAAGGGCTTTATGTGTATGTATTGTTAATAGAGAAGTGTACATGTCTATTCAAACTTTAACAATCCAGTAGAATGTTCTAGTTTTACGTTTTTTTCTATTTTACGTTAATTGTTTTGTGGAAAATAATACCATAATGTCCTTCAACTTTAGCAGGATTTGGTGAATTGTAATGCTTCGAAAGATAAATTGGATGCCTCCACACCGATTCAGATTGCAGAGAGTGCTTGTTCACTCAAATCAAAAAGTTCCAAATCATTTGATGATAATGTCACAGAATTTGGATCGGCCAGTAACGTGGAAATATCCAATGCAACCAAGTCCATGGCTTGTGGATCAAAACTTCATGTTCGTCAAGTCCCCAGTGGTTGTTTAGAGGTCAATAGTAGTGCAGGCCATACTTTCCCAGTAGATGATCATGGTGTAAGTAATATATATTGATAGTGTTTCTTTTCTTGTTATTTGATGGTTTTTCTTAAATGTTCTGCTACCGATCAAACTTGTTCATTGATTTTTGATGTGTGCGGGAAATCTGGTTAAAATAAAAACTGAACTAACTGGAAAAAATATAAGGGCATTTACATACTTGCATATTTACACTCATATCATTCAAATCTTTAATATCACATAAAAAATAGCACTATTACAGTTTTTAAAAGTGAAATACATCTTTTACTGCATAGATTTAAAGCACCAAAGGGCTATGAAAATATGAAACTTTAGGTGGGAAATATGTAAATACAAAAGAATTGAGTGGTATATATGTAAATCTTCCAAAAATATATTAGTTTAATTTGATTTTGTTTTTGTTTTTTTCCCTCTTTTATTATTATTATTTTTTTTGAGGTTTGCAAGTTGAGCTAAGCTAGAAAGTGTCTGCTTTTCCATGTTTTTATATTTGTCCATAAGTGTTGCTTGTTGAAGTTAGAAGGTTCTGTCAAATATCCATCGATTTCTCATTATTTGATTTTGTGCAGTGGTCTATAATGTTTAAAGCTGGTCATGACTCCGTTTATGTGGATATGAATTGTTGCTTGATGGGGAACATATTAGACGTTGATTATCTTAAAGTTGAAGTGGCTTGTGCCTTCTTTCTTGGCCTCTTTGAAGAGAAACGTTCTAAAGGTATTACTTATTACTTTTTAAACCTTTTTCAACCAATGAGTATAATTTGTTAACCTATTTTGTAGATGTTACTTAGATTAGGATTCTATAAGCATAAGTTAGCAGCTTCTAAACCACGATATATTATTAATTTGTTGAACTAATGGTATTATTTTTCATTCTGTAAGCGAATGACAAATTTATAACTTTAGGCATTGTAATGACTTATAAGGATTGGTTGCATTTGCTATCAAGGAATTTTTCAACTCAACTATCTAATTCATTTTCCACTACCTTTCTAGATTATAAATTATTGGACGGATTCTTTTATTAGGGAATGAAATATATAAAATTGGATGGCATGTTTTGCAAAACTAATTATGTCAGTTTGGATTCTTAAGTTATATGTTGTTATGAACATCAAACAAATTAAATAATGGAACGATTTGAAGTGAATGGTTCATAGATCTAATACATTATTATTGTCCGTGCAAGATTTTTTTCATATTAGTAAAATTCTCCATATATATATATTGTAAGAGTGGGCCCAAATAGGCACCCAACCCACACGGTACAACAAAAAAAAAAGAAAATTATAAACCCAAAAGAAGATGGTACCTATAAGATCAATTGGGTCGACCCAATTTAGTTCTGTCTCTGCCTCTAGTTCTCGGAAGGGAACCAACTAACAAATTTGTATAGTTCTCGGAAGGGAACCAGCTAACAAATTGGTAAGATGCGTACCATTACCCGAAGTAACCAAAGTATCATCCTTAGCTCAAGTAGATCTCCATTCTTCTTCTTCCTCCTAGAAGTGTAGACCTGTCATTCCTCATCCAAAGATTGTTGCTCATTCAGATGAGGTGGTAGTGCTGCAGTAGAAAAATTGCCAACAGTTGTGCCCACAAGAGATTCAAATGTATGTGAGTTAAGAGTTGTCTCTTCTAGCTCTAATACTTCCTAAAGATGGGGAGCTGCAAGGTTCTCCTGATTATCAGTCCGTGTAGGTAGGGGTCCGTTTCCAATAGGGTTTGAAAGTTTAGGTTGCTCAGCAGGGCCATCCAGCTTCTCATCGATCACAAAAATAGTATTTTCAGGGGGAGGGTCCATAGTAGAAATAAAATCAGACACCAAATCCTGTCCTGTGGTAGTTTTCTCTCCAGGTGGAGCAAATATGTCCTTAAATCCATCCTTATTCACTTTATCTTTAGATTTTAAATTAGGATGAAGCTCATGACATTTATCAAGAGTATGCCCAAAAAACTTACAATGAGAACAATAAGGAGGTCTATGCTCAATGACGATTTGTTGCCGATATCCATTATGAGTCGTGCCCAACCAGACTTCAGTAACATCAGGTAAAGTAATATCTCCTTTCATCGATCACAAAAATAGTATTTTCAGGGGGAGGGTTCATAGGAGAAATAAAATCAGACACCAAATCCTATCCTGTGGTAGTTTTCTCTCCAGGTGGAGCAAATATGTCCTTAAATCCATCCTTATTCACTTTATCTTTAGATTTTAAATTAGGATGAAGCTCATGACATTTATCAAGAGTATGCCCAAAAAACTTACAATGAGAACAATAAGGAGGTCTGTCTATGCTCAATGACTAGTGGTTGCCGATATCCATTATGAGTCGTGCCCAACCAGACTTTAGTAACATCAGGTAAAATAATATCTCCTTCCACAAGTATTTTGGCCACAACATGTCCAGTAAGGTTGAAAGTGGGTAGATCTAGCTTCATAGGGTCCCCAAGTATGACACCATTAGAGTAAAGAACGTAATGATGAAAAAAGTGTAGTTTGAGACCAGATAGACTAAACCATACGGTACAGTAGGAGGTTCATGATTGGGGTCAAAAGTTGGAGATCACTTGAGCAGCTTTATTGGTTTACCAGCAATGTTAAGATAATTTTTAGAGAAAATCCGAGTGTAGTTTTCAGGTACGGTTAACTAAATCAATACATGTCTCCTATCCATGAGCCCCACTTATCACTTTCCTGCTAATTTGAGATCATCAAAACTTCTTCTGATACCTTCCATAGCTGGGTGTCCCCACTGAAATTTTTCAATAAGAGCAAACTTGAATGTGAGACATGTATTGATTTAAGGACAGTCACATGTACCATCATTATACTCCTTATAACTTGAGGGGAAGACAACCGTTGTCTCCCCCTGAAGATTACCCACCACGTGGGCAAAGGAGGCTTTGCCAGGTTCAACCGAAGAAGGAAGCTTCATCACAACAAGGAGAAACCCTGCCAAGTCGGGCAGAGGTCAAAAACAACTAGCTGAAGAGGTCACGGCGAAGCTGCGCAGAAGACAAGAACTCTTCAATATTATATATATATATATATCAAAT